AGGACACAGACTCCTTTCTTTCTCATTAAACCATAGAAATAGAATTCCTTCATCCTACTGCGAAGCTTCCTCCTCCCTCTTGCACCCCTACCTCAGCTGAATGTTCCCGTTGCTTCCACATGAGAGTGCTTGCTCTTCTGGTGGGGTGTGGGGTGGAAGGGCTGAGAATCCTTGAACCAGTTGAAACAGGTCATCTTCAGGAAAAGCATGCTCTCCTGGAGATGAAAGATTCAGGCACACAGTAAACCTTCCTCACAAGTAATCTTGGTTCTTCACTCAGGAAATTGCAAGAGGTTGAAGCCTTCATTCCTCCCAGGTTTATGTTTACAAATTTGGGTTTATGGGTCTAGGTAAAAAAGTTCTCTTTGAACAGAGCATGTGTTTCTTTTACCACCTCTTTCTAGTAAATAATGGCTAAAGATTCTGGCAGTGTCACATAGTTTGGGAACCCTGTCTTTTCCTGGGCCACATACCTCTCTCTGCATTTCTGTAACTCCTACTTGACCAGTGCTCAAGAAATCATCTTGTTTTGCCCTGTGTTCTGCAACACTCTAGAGCAGCTAGCCTCCTTGACCATACCACACTTCCCTCAGCAGTGCGATGCTGGAAACGATCACTGGCAGTAAGTTTCAATACCCTGAGATTCTATGTGAATGGGCTGAAAGAAGTCCCTGCCCTCTGGGCTGACCATCGTCCTGAGTTCTTTAGCTTAACCTGCAGCTCCTGAAGAGAATCTGGTTTCATTACCCTGTTGTGGCAAAACATTTGGCTAAATAAGACCTTGGAATCTTCCTTTCTTGCATGGCTTCCCAATCCATCCTCTCCCCATTCTGTGGCTTGCCATTCATCATTCTGTGAAGCTTTTCCTGTTCATTAAATTGTAACCCAAACACCATGTAATGGTTATATTCTGTTGCTTCTTCTAACTCTAGGGACCAGCAGCACAAACACTGTTGGGGGAACAGTGAACAGCCAGGCCGCCCAAGCTCAGCCTCCTGCCATGACTGCCAGCAGGAAGGGCACATTCACAGATGACCTGCACAAGTTGGTGGACAATTGGGCCCGAGATGCCATGAATCTTTCAGGCAGGAGAGGAAGCAAAGGACATATGAATTACGAGGTAAGTTTTCCCCTTTTGCCATTTTTCTAATCTGTCAGTGTCACTTAGCACATCTGAGTTGGAGATGATATGAATGACCTGGACTATTGTTTGACATTTCAGGCTGTGACCTTCTTTAGCAGCTCATTAATTTTAACACTTAGAAAAACAAGGCAAAAATCACCCAGGTACCCTTTTATTTTTCCTTCCCTGACTCCTTTGCTTCCTATTGGTTAACTCAATTTTTTCTTCTCTTTTCTGCCCTGAACTGCGTGCCCGCACATACACGCACACATGACACCCCGCCAGTAACAGTCAGAATGGTTACTCTCACCCACTGGGAAATGTGAAGTGCCATTAATAATTATTATGAAAGGTTTTGTAAGATTTGAACAGTCTCAGTTGTAAAATTACATTTTAGTACTGCCCGTTTCACATTCAGGTATGTTATGCCCACACCACATGTTACAATGAGTTGTTTTGTTTTCAGGGCCCGGGCATGGCAAGGAAGTTCTCCGCACCTGGTCAACTGTGCATCTCCATGACCTCAAACCTGGGTGGCTCTGCCCCCATCTCTGCAGCATCAGCTACCTCTCTAGGTCACTTCACCAAGTCTATGTGTCCCCCACAGCAGTACGGTTTTCCAGCTCCTCCCTTTGGCACTCAGTGGAGTGGGACAAGTGGCCCCGCACCACAGCCACTTGGGCAGTTCCAGCCTGTGGGAACTGCCTCCTTACAGAATTTCAACATCAGCAATTTGCAGAAATCCATCAGCAACCCCCCAGGTTCCAACCTGCGGACCACTTAGTCAGACCCAGAGATATTAACTGAGTAGATTTGGGGGCAGGAAAGAGAGTGCTGAGTGGTTGGGGGGGAAGGGGAAGTAGCCTATGTACTAACTACTAGTGCTGCATTTAACTGATTATTTCTTGCCAGAAAGGAACATTTTTAATACTGCTTAGAGCCCTCAGAATGGAGAGTCTTCCTCCCTCTTCACCTTTCGTTGGAGTGGGACAGGAAGGAAAGAGCAGCTTTCTTGTGGTGGGGCAGCTTCAAATTGTGCTTCCTGTTTACCTGTATCCCAGTGAGGGCTAGGAAAGAGAAAGGCTTTAATCAGGAAGCTCTTAGAGGGCTTAAGGGAAAACCAGACCCCATCTGTATTTTCAACTGGGTGGAGCTCTTAATTTTGGTACCCACCCCAAGACGCTTATTCCCTCAAGAATCTAAGCCACGAGACAAAAAAAAGTATTGGGCTCTCTTCTACCCTGTTCCCCCACCCAACCCCCACTCTTTTCCCTTTCTTTTCTTTTTATTCTCTTTAGAACCCAGTGAAAAACACCAGGAGACTGAGGTTTCAACCTTTCTTATGATAGGTCATTAGTGCTTTAAGCAAATGATATTAGCAGCTTTGACTGCAGTGTTAGCAATTAGGAAAAAAGTTCCCTGCGGACATGTAACTTTACCATCAGTTTTGATGTGGAAACACTGTGATATATAAATGTTGTTGGACAACAGTAGATTTAAGATGAAAATATGAAAGGTTTAAAAGGTTGGGAAAAAAGCTAGCTCTGTCCTTTACTTATTGAGACACTTTAACTTTTTTCTTTGTATTTCCATTGTATTAGATAAATAAATGTGAATGTAAAATTGTATAAATTACGTACTTGAATACTTCTGTTCTCCCAGTATTGCTTGCTGGATATTTTAGTGCCTTGGACTTCTATTGCTTTTGCCATTAGCATCAACTTCTCATCAGACCCCAGATCAGCAAAGGGCATGTGGAAGGAAATCTAAGGTCCATGTGACCCCAGCAGTGGGTTATGCCAAAGGGAAATTGAGAGAGTGATTTAAGTCATTCAACAATTTTGTCTAGAGCAGGTGTAAGATGAGCGGGGTGAGAAGTTAAGTTGACATCAGTGGTTGAAAGCAGAAAGTTCTGTTTCAGGAACAGTGATAAGGGGTGCTATAACAAAACTGGGCAATTTAAAAGATTAAAGGTGGTGTGTGATAAGTGAAAGAAAAAGACTAAAGAGTGGGACAACAAACTTGTTTTGAAGGTATGTGATGCCTGGCCAGTGGATGCCATATAAGCCTTACTCATTTGAGCTGGGCTTGAACAGACCTAGAAGAAATGGCTGGACTTGGGAAGCGGGAGGGGCCGATTTTGAAGTTGGGAAACGTGATAGTGAAGTGTCACAGATGGAGAAAGTTGCTCTAAGAAAAACTGTTTGGATTGCTTTCCTCTTGTTGCAAATGTGCCGAGCATTTCTCAGCTTGGGGTACTGTATTTTTGTGGAAAGTGGACCCACGTCTGAATTAGGCACTGTAGGAAAGGATGCTCATTCTTCCTGCTCTTCTGTGTAATGTCCTGATGGTTGCAGGATCATAATCTGTTGTGCCACCTTTATTTCTGCAATTGCAGCTGATATTCTCACATTTCATATTAACAAATACTCTCCTTAAGTAATAACTGCAACCAACCAGTATTATTCAGTGCTATGCCTAGTTGTAATGGGCAGTTCTATTATTTTCAGAGCTTTCAGGAAATACTCTCCTAATTGGCTATGTTGGGGTCTCTATTATCTCTGAAGATGAGGGGAAAGCTAGGATTCTTACAATTTTTTGGGTGCTTCCTGTCTTGACTCTTGAGTTGGGAAATTGACATATTTCCAACCTCTTACCCACCTCAACAGCACATCCCAGGAATCACCACAACAAGAAGAGCCTGGCTGGCTCTCCTATCCTGTTGTTCTTTCATGGGCACTGTTTCTTTAAGTTAGCCTAGGCCCCAAAGATGCAAATGAAAGCTGAAGGTCTTAGGAAGGTAGAAATGAAAAGGGCAGGGGTTCCAAGCCCTCCTTCAAAATCGTTCACTTATTCATTCTCCACGTATAATTCCTGGGGAGATGCTAAGAGTAAGGATAAAACAAGGTGGCCAAGTAAATGAGAAACAGACCACCTATGATGAATGAAACAATACTTTCTGCTAGAGAAACAAGCAAACCAAATGCAGCACATTGTTTGTTATTTTGGTTTAATAATTTTAGGATCTCTTCACTCACAAAAAAGTAAGAACTGGTTTTATTTACTGTTGATTTTTTTCCCTCCTGTGGATGAAATAACAAGCCTAGCAGAATGAACTAGCTACTGAAATGTTTAAATTATTTTTGTGTTAATAGTACACTTTGAGTATCTTTTTTCACATTAAAACCTTTCTGAATTATAAATGTTTTCCTTGCGTTATTTAACAATGTGTACTGTTTTAAAAAATGAATAAACAATTCAAACCTTGGGTTTCTCCGCAGCCGTTAATTGTACATTTTGCACTAACTCTGGGTGTGGCGCTTCTTGTAAGATTGCGCTTCGTGCTTCAGTTTGTAACCTTTGTAGACTTATTTAATGAAACCATTCAAATAAACCAAACTTGCTTTTGTTGAGTTGTGGGGTTTCATTTCCAGCCAATTCCTTTTTCATCATTTCATTAGCTCTGTTTTCTGTGCAGTTTATAACTGGAGTCCTAACTTCAAGAACCTTTTCTAGTGGCAATTCTGACCTGAATTAAGGTTATGCTGCAGACAAAGATATTTATTCTGATATTTATCCTTTGATAGTAAGGACATCGAAATCAAAAGACGGGTATGTGACCAAGTCTGCACAAGAGGTGAGGTAAAAGGGGAATCTGAGGGAGCCACTGCCTCTTCACTTTCCCAAGGACTAGAAGTGGATGGCTGCCTTCTGTTCTCTGAGTTCCTCGCCTCAGGCTCCCAGCTTCCCACAAATGGGTGTTACGCAGAAGAATAAAAGTCGTGGCTTCAAGGTGAAAGGTACAGCCCAAAACAAAATGCACCTTAAAAAGTAAACTGGCAAACTCATTACTTGAGGGAAAGAATTACGAAACATCTAAGCATGATGGAAAAACAGTTTAATAATGTTAAGGGGGTTATATCACATCTGAAATGGGGAAATATAAGCAGCTACTTATATTTCTTATTTTGTTACCAAGTAGTAATGGACTTATTTTGCACTCTTGAAATGCCTTTTCTCTGGCCTTAGATCAGTTTCCGTAATTAAACGAGATTATCATGGATGAGATCACAGCCTGGATGATGCGCAGGAGTAAAACACCACTCCGGGCTTTGTTCTCAGCGTGATGCACAGTCCCCATGTGGGCAGCACTGGAACTTGGAGCCCTCTTGTGAAAGAAGGCAGAGATACTCAGTAATTTCATGTAGGTAGTTGTTAAAAGTTGGTGCTTAGTGGTATGGCTTATATTACTTTCAGCCACTGGTGATTCCTAAAAGTTCTGTTTTTATTAAGATAACAGGAATAAATAATGAAGAGCCTCAGAAGCCCAAGAAACGGTATTTAATCTCCCCAAAGCCTACTGCAGTGTGCCACAAGCTTTTTTAAAGTTACTTGTTTTCCAGCTGCTCAGTCTTATCTGCAGTAGGCTCTAGTAGTCAAATCCTCTGGAAAAGTTCAGAATGAAGCAAGGTAAATCCTTGGAAATAAAGCTCATTCCCTAGGAATGATGAACAATTTCATGGCCAAAAAACAGTTTTCTAAAAGTCCCTCTATGACAGTCTGGTGACGTGACCTGAGCCTCTGTTAAGACGGATCCAGTTTCCTTTTCTTCGTGTCCTGGTTCTTCCTATAGGGATCACAGCTTCCTATAAAAAAAAAGCGGTTAAAATATAGCTGCCATGATTTTAAAATAAACTCACAGCTAGTAATTTCTGAATTGTATTATTTAATGATCCTAATTTAAACTAAAAACCTAAGAATGAAAATAGTTAGGAAGAAGACATCCCTCTTTTAAATCTAGGCCAAGTTGCAGTAATCATGATGGGTCCACTTTGCACAGGAAAAACTCTTAATGCAGTTATGCTTAAGCTTCCCACTAGGACCCCAAAGAAAAAGCTCTGGCTCAAACCAGTTACCTTCTATTTTCTTACACTGCTATTCCTCTGTCACCTGCCCAGCTTTTTTCAATGGCATGCCATTCCACCTTTAAAATTCATAGAATTAAACCCAGGTTATCCCTCCAACTTTTGTTCCTAAATCACTTTGCTACCTGTTAGGTGTTGGTTAACGTTGGGAGTGTGGAGGTGCCAAGTTTCAGATTTTGCTTGTGGGTTCTGGTGGCAAAGGCTTTGTGGGGTCCTGCTCCGGGTCACCATCTGGTTCTTTAGGACTGGTGTGGCAACACTCTGCTGTGGTTCTGGTATAGACAAGTGCTTGGCAACACTGTCTCCTGCATCTGGAGTCATATCCCACATTTCAAAACTGTCTGCAAGGACAGAGATCACAGGAAAATGTATCAACAAACAAGGAAGTGTTCTCACATAAAGCACTGGAAAACCAGGTCATAAGAAATCCCATGCCATGAGTGCCCTGTGGTAGTTTTTAGAATTTCCCTGTCCCCAACCCTTAAAAGTACACTGAAGCTTCTGTTAGGTTAGGACAGTAGAGGAGCTGAACTTGTGCTACCAGTCAGAACTACCATCAGTCCACTCTGGGTCCTCTTTTTCCTAAAGCTTCATGGGGTTACAGAACAGAAAGGGTTTTTATGCCTCTTTTAAAATGCATTTGTAACTACCCCTGGTATCCGGCACAGTAACGTGCAAGCATCTCACAAGTATTTCCTGATTAATACTTAGCATCCCTTTAGCACCGACTGACCTGCAGGGAAGTCTTTCTCGGTGAGTGGTTCCACACCAACAGCTACGGGAGTGCTGTGCTTCACAGGAGGCGCCGGTGGCTCTGCTACAGTTAGTTCACACACAGGGAGACCGGAGAACGCAGTCGTTAGTGGGAGCAGCCTCAGAAGTGCAAAGCTGCCTAGGGTTATACTGGTTCCTGGCACAGCCAGTAGCAGAGTTCAAGATTCCTAGGTCCCAGTCCTACCTACAGATCTGTATGAGGTTTAAAATAAACTTTCTCCTCCACCCTTCACCCCCAGGGACTTCAGCAATGGTTTGGAAGCTAAAGATCCAGAATAATTCTTAGTAAGAACATCCTCGCACAGTAAGTTGTGTTGTTTTTCCCCTACATTAATTTCAGCCTCAGTGCTGAGGGGATATTAATGAAAGCAAATCCTCTATCAGCTTCATAATCTTAGGGGGAAGCTGGGCAAAAATCCAACTGATTTGGGATTAGCCCTTCCTGTTTCTACTCTCTAGGAAAGACTCCAAAAATAACCTCTATCTATTCCCACTGAATCTGGACTGAAATAAACAAGTTCACAGATAAATAATTGTCAAAAGCTGCCATTATCTTCAAACTCAGATTTGCCTTATATTCAAGGACAGCTCAGAAAGGCTTTGTCACACAGAGACAAAGTAACTGAAGCAAAAAAAACCTCTGTACCATGAAATTTGCTAGTTCCAGGTTTGGTTAAGGCCCATTTCCTCCACCCTACCCCCATAAGATTAGTGTCTTTAGAAATAGGGAAATACACAGCAGGATTTCACTATCTTAACTTTTTGGACTCATCTATCCCATGTGTAACTTGAGGGAAGTGTACTGAGCTCCGGTTTGGACCTAACCACACTGTGCTGCAGAGGATCAGGGTACTCAGTCAACGAGCCTTCCCTGGGGTACAGAGTACACCCCCTGGGGCCTCTGCTCCCATCCTCACAAACCCTGATTCTTTTCAACGGATGGAGCAGATTGTTGAACTTGCTGCTGTTTCTCCATTTGCTCCCGGAACTGCTGCTGCAACTGTTTCTGCCGGAGCTTCCGCTGGTAAGTGGCATCGCTCCCTGCAGCAGAGGAAGCCAGGCTTCTGCATCAGAAGAGCAACAAGGTGGGAGTGAGTTCCTGAGTTAACTGAATAAACAATACACAGCTCCCGAGGGGGCACTCAAACCAACTTGCTGGCTCTGGAGGAAGAAATGGAAATAATAGACTCCATGAGACGGCAGAAGAGGAAAAGCAAGGAACTGAGGCCCTTACCGGGAGCTGCTGTCCTTACTGCCCTGCATCACAATGTGGGGATCATCTGAGTGGCTTGGTCTGCTAGGGGAGGTGACCTCCTGTGGTTTTGTGGGCCCCAGAGCCACATTCTGTCGGCAGCTGCTGTATCTCGCTTGTTCCACAGATGGTTCAAAATCTTGTCTCTTTGCTTTAGTTAAATCCACTTCAAGAGGCAACTAATAAGGGAAGAAGGGGGAGGGAGGGATAACTTTCTCCAACTGCTCTTCCCTTCCCTTCTTTTCCCCGCCTTAAAGGTCTAGAGTCCTAGAAAAGAGCATTTGACAATCCTCTATGCATCATGCCTCCTAGGTCCTGAGAAGCTACGACAAAAGATCCAACGCTTCAAGTAATATCTTTAATAACATGAGGAGTAAAAGAGTTTCATTTTCTACTTTATACTGGTCAGTATTAATGAAATTTTGATAAAAAGGAACCTTATTTTAGTTTTGATTTAGGGCAAATGATCTGTAAAATCTAATTTTAATCTTTTCTTGGCAACTGAATGTCTGGTGCTGTCTTTTTACCTTTTTTTTAAAATGGAAATTATCACAGTCTTTGTGAAAGGAGGCCTACACCTTCTCTGCCCTTTCTGCCAGAACTGCCCCCTTCAAATACAACACTCATCACGGAAAAAACCTCAGGTACACTAAAGACATCATTAAGTGTCCTTCAGCTGACAGGAAGAAAAAACGTGGGGTTGTTCCTGCATCTGGCCAAATGAGAGAAGACTGTATTTCATGGCACAGGGCAAATTGTTTTATTTCCAAGCCATGAGCACTACAGAAACCCAGAGCTTTCACTTGGAAGAACTTCTCTCCCAATTCATAATATGGATACTGATACAATAATTGAAAATTAGGGATTGGGTTGACTACATTTTGATAAAGATAACCTGAAAATGAAAATTATACTGTGAAATTTCTTATCTAAATGGGAAAGTGAATAGGTTAAAAAGAAATGAGCTTATGCTACAACATGGGTTGAGGACCTTATGCTAAGTAAAACAGGCAGTCACAAAGGACAAATATGTATGATTCAATTTATCTGAGGCACACAGAGTAGTCAAAATCAGACAGACGCCCAGCCGATTTGGCTCAGTGGTTAGAGCATTGGCCCATGGACTGAAGGGTCTCAGGTTCAATTCCAGCCAAGGGCACGTATCTTGGTTGCAGGCTTGAACCCCAGCCCTAGACAGGGCGCAAGCAAAAGGCAACCAATCGATGTGTCTCTCTCACACCGATTCACATTGACGTCTCTCTCTCTCCCTTCTACTCTCTGAAAAGCAATGAAAAAAATATCCTCGGGTGAGGATTTAAAAAAAAAAATCAGAAAGTGGACTGGTGGTTGCCAGCGGCTGTAGGATCGGGGAATGAGGAGCTATTACTTAATGATAGTTTCAGTTTTATAAAAAGAAAGAATTATAGAGATAGATGGTGGCAATGATTGCACAATGTAATGAATGTATCTAATACTACTGAACTGTACACCTTTAAATGGTTAAGATGGTAAATTCTGTTACATATATTTTACCATAATAAAAAAATTTTGAAAAAATAAGAAATGAGCTTGGAAAAAAATTAAAAAGACTGACAATGCTAAGTGCTATTAAGGATATGGAACAACTGGATCTCTGATACACTGTAATGTGGGAGTGTGAATTAGGACACCATCCTGAAAAACTGGAAGACTCTACTAAAACTAAGTGTATGCCTATCCTCTGGCCTGACCCAGTAGTTCCCCAGATAAATGACTCTGTGTGTGCACCAAAAGACATATACAAGAATGCTAACAGCAGCCCTATTGAAAACAACAAAATGCTACAAAAATCTCAAAGGTCTATTAAAGTCAGAATGGGAAAGAACTGTGGGAAACTCATGCAATAGAAAAGTACACAGCAATGAAAAGGCTAAATGCAACCTGAATGAACCTCATAAACATGCTGAATAAAAGCCAGACACAAACTTGCTTGATTTCAAAAAATGCAAAACAGTCAAAACTAATATTTGTTGTGTGACTTTCCTTGGTAGTGATGAGAAGGGGAGGGATGGGCAGTGCCTGCGGGGGACACAAGTGAGACTTCTGGGATACTGGAAATGTTTTGTCTTGATTCAGACACTGGTTATATGCATGTGTATAGTTTTAGAATTCATCAAGCTGAAACTTTTATGATATGTGCACTTGTCTACATGTCTCTATGTACTTTTTAATACTTCAATCAATTTTTATAAGGCTCAAACTATACAATTCCATTTATATAAAGTTCAAAAACAGGAAAAAAAATAGCTGTGGCAGTGTTGCTCAGCTGGTTGAGCATCGTTCTGTGCACCAAAAGGTCCCTGGTTTGATTCCCCTTCAGGGCACATGCCCAGGTTGTGGGCTCGATCCACAGTCAGGTGTGTGTGGGAGGCAACCAATTGATGTTTCTCTTTCACACTGATGTTTCTCTCTCTCCCTCTCCCTTCCTCTCTCTCTAAAATCAATAAAAACGTATTTTTAAAAAAACACACAGGAAAAAATAATCTATGAAGCTAGAAATCAGAGAAAAGTTAGGACAGTAGTTACTTTTGAAAAGACGAAGTCAAGGTAGTGAACGGGAGGGGGAAATGGGATGGATTCTGGGTCACTGGTAGTGTTGTGTTTCCCTACTGGGGAGGCAAATGTGTTCACTTCTAAAAATTCATCAGGCTGTACCATATGGTTTATGCAGTTTTCTGTGTATATCTTGTACATCATTTAAGAACGTCATTTAAAAAAAAAAAGAGCAGAAAAGAAATAGAGTGATGTCAGCAAAATGGTAGACCACGAAGCTCCAGGCCCTCCTCCCTCTTCAGAGACACTGAATTAACAGCAATGTACAGACTAGGATACCTTTGTGAGAACTCCAATGACCAGTTTAGAAGCTATAGCACTGAGTCCAATGTACGACTGAGACAAGATTCCAGCTCCTACACAAGAAAAAGCTAAAAAAGTTCATCACCAGAGTTACAAGAAATGCTAAAGGGATTTTTATAAGAAGAAAAAAGTATAAAAAATATGAATTAAAAAATGGCAATACCTACATAAATGTAAATGGACTAAATGCTTCAGTCAAAAGATGGTTGAATGAATAGGAAAACAAGACCACATATGCTGTCTACAAGAGATGCACTTCAGATCTAAAAATACACACAGACTGAAAATAAAGGGATGGAAAAAGGTATTTCATGTAAACTGGAGACTAAACAAAAAGTGGTGTAGCAATACTTATAAAAGACAAAACAGACTATAAAACAAAGGCTATAACAAAGAAGAACATTTCATATACAAGCAACCTAAGTATCCATAAGTCGACAATTGGATAAAGATATGGTACATATATACAATGGAATATTATTTGGCCATAAAAAAGAGCAAAATCTTACCATTTATAACAACATGGATGGACCCAGAGGGTATTATACTAATGAAATAAGTCAGACAGAGAAAGACAAATACAATATGATTTCACTTATATGTGGAAAATTAAAACCAAACAAACAAAAAAACCTCGTAGTTACAGTGAATAAACTGATGGTTGCCAGATTGGAGAGGGAGTTAGGGGGCTGGGTGAAAAAGATAAAGAGATTAAGAAATACAAATTGGCAGTTACAAAATAGTCATGGGGATATAAAGTAAAGAATAGGGAATCTAGTCAATAATATTGTAATAACTATGTATGGTGCCAAGTGAGTACCCGACTTACTGGGGAGATTACTTCATAAGTTATATAAATAATCACTATGATGTTTATCTGAAACGAGCATAATATTGAATGTAAACTGTAATTGAAAAATTTTTAAAAGATTCCAGCAAAAGGAGTAAGAAATTCACATTTTGCATGCCTGTCTGTGCCCCTGCCCCTATCCAGCACAGAGCAGTACAACCAGGAGAAAACCTACCACACTGGACTCTTCCCTCAGTATGGAAACAAAGAGTGGACTGTGTGTCCAATGCTCTGGCTTGTTTGGGGGCTGCCCAAGGCACTGGTTTCTGTCTCACCTTACTCAAAATGTTAATGGGACTGGTATCAGAGTTTGAAAGCCACTAAAAACAGAGGTGAGCATCATAGTACATCAGAGCTGCAGTTCTTCAGTCAGATGCCAGAAGGAAAAAGAGATTATAAAAGATCTGAGACATCCTAGAACCTCTACCTGGACTGATTACTGAAAGTCTCCCCCACCCTAACAAAGCCAGTCCATAAAGACTATAAGTGATTGTTTTTTCAAATGCCCAAATCTCAATAAAAGATCACAAGGCATATAAAGAAACAGGGAAAAATGGCCCAATCAAAGGAACAAAATAAAACTCCAAAAACTGACCTTAAAAAATGCAGAGCTAAGAATTGCCTGACAAAGAATTTAAAATAACTGTCAAAGATGCCCAATGAGCTAAAAGAGAACACAGACAACATCAGGGAAATGATGCATGAACAAAATGAGAATATCAACAACGAAAAACTATAAAAAAAGAAACTGACAAATTTTGGAGCTGAAAAGCACAATAACAAAGTTGAAGAACTCACTAGAGAGGTTCTATAGCAGACTTGATCAGACAGAATAAAGAATCAGCCAATGTGAAGAAAGGTCATTTGAAATCATCTAGGCAGAGAAGCAAAAAGAAGTGAGGAGAACTTAAGGGACTGAAAGGACACTATCACACTTTGTATTATAAGAGTCTCAGCCCTGGCCGGTGTTGCTCAGTGGTTAGAGCATCGGCCTGCACACTGAAGGGTTGTGGGTTCAATTCCCGGTGAAGGGCATGTGCCTGGGTTGCAGGTTCGATCCCCTGCCCCCATGAAGGTGCATGCAGGAGGCAACCAGTCGAGTTTCTCTCACATCGATGTTTCTCTCTCTATCCTTCTCCTTTTCTCTCTCTCCCTCTCCCCTCTCCCTCCCTTCCACTCTCTCTAAAAATCAATGGAAAAAATATCCTCAGGTAAGTATTAACAAAAAAAAAAGAGTCTCAGAAGGAGAAGAGAAAAAGAAAGGGGCAGAGAGGTTAATGAGGAAAGAAAATCTTTCCTTAATCTAAGGAAAGAAAACATATTCAAATTTAAGAAACTCAAAGAACTATATCTAAGATAAACCCAGACACTCCCACTAAGACACCTTATAATCAAAGATAATACACTGGTAACAAAATATCAGAAAGGGAAATA